TTTTTTTTTTTTTCATTTAGTCCACTGTCTTCAGGATAATTCTAATTAAGTCTGGCATATAAAATAACTGTCTCTTTTTAATGTTTCAGAGGTCGGAATTCAATGGCGAAACCTGAAAAAGCCATTCGGCCTTAATGATAACTTTGCTTTTGGCCATGTGATGGTGATGCTGTTGCTTGATGCCCTTTTATATGCTGTGATAATCTGGTATGTGGAGACTGTTTTTCCAGGAGATTATGGTGTACCTCAACCTTGGTACTTTTTCACAAAGGTATGTTTTAAAATTTATAGGAACAGAATTTCTTTCTGGGCTTGGAGTTACAGTGGTGTATCATTAATTGTATCAAATGACCAGTTAGCAACACTGGAGCCCATCATTGCCAATTTAATGATTAGATTGAAAATTCTGCTCTTTTTAAGATATCAAATAAAAACTATGAAAATGTAATAATAAAAATACTGTTTCTGAAAATGTAGATTATCCCAAGAATTTTTTTTAAATATAATTTAAAAAATACCAGAGACCCTTTATTCTGTCCGAGTCCTAAGAACTTAGCTCTGAACTCTCAATTAGATCTGGATACTAAATTTCTCTGAGAAATTGTACTAGATTTTGGGAAGGACAGGTCCAGTACAGAGCTAAAATTTTGCAATTCTGAACTCAAATCTGATTGATTTGGCTTATAGAAAATAAATCCCTAGTGTATCTAGATATATGTAGATTCTAGATGTAGATATGTCTAAATTATTATTTTCCACAAAATAAAATCATATTGTTTTAATTTTTTGTTGTTAGGAATATACACAAGGAATATACGAAAACCAACTCAGCAATTTCCATAGGAACATTTCAGTGATATTTATTGCTTTCTTCAAGTTGTGCAGCCATTCTCATCCATGTCTGCCTTGAGCATTAGGCTCTTTCAGGAACTATCTATATGGGATCAAATTGACAATAGCAACTTGAAATATTAGCTAGAAAACATAGGGGGCAATGAGTTTATGTTAATGGAAGAGCAAGAATTCAGAAAATCATTAATTTTTTTTATTTCTCAAAAGTAATTTGCTGCTGTATGGTAAGATATAATCTAAATTTTGCTTTTCTTTAGTTTTCCTACTGGAATGAGCATCCAAAATGCATTTTGAACAGGAGAAAGAAACATTTAGGTGTTGAGAAATGTGATGATGAATTCTTTGAATGTGAACCTGAAAACTTGTTGGCTAGTATCCAGATAAAAAATTTATCCAAGGTATTATGCTCCTGGGTCATTTTTTCCAATAAGATTTAAAATATATTATTTAATGTTTTTTGCTAATGTAAGTATATTTTCATAATTGAAAATTTAAAAAATATAAAATTTAAATGATGATTAGTCATAATCCCAACAGACAACCATTATAATGTGTTAAATCTACTCATTCCATGATCCTTTTATATATACACAATTTTACATATTTTAAATCATAGTACATAATTTTCCATGCTATTTTTTTTCATCTTATACTCATTTTTTTAATTTTTATTGTGATTTTGGTGAAAGTTTACAGAGCAAATTCATTTTCCATACAGAAGTTCATATACATTTTATTTCATGACTTTGACTGTAATCCCCACAGTGTAACAGCTCTCTTCCCACTTTAGTTACTTCTTCCCTGTGTCCTTCTATCCTATGCATTCCTGACCCTGAACTATCTCTTGGTGTATATACTGCCCTTCTGTTCTCCCATGACTGATCACTCTAAGGAGTGTATCTACCTGATACAAATGTTCCTGCTATATCCCTGTCTTTTGTTTATCTGGAAGCCATAGGAATGAGTTCAATTCCAGACCTGAAGGGTAACTAGAAGCCATAGTCTTGGGGTCTCAATAGGCTCTGTCAGACCAGTAAACCTGGTCTTTTTTATGATTCTAAGTTTTGTCCCACATTGTTCTCCCACTCTATCCAGGATCTTCTGCACTGACCCCTTTCCTAGTGGTTGACAGTGGTAGCCAGGCACTATCTAGTTCTTCTGGTCTCATGGTCACATAGGCTGAGGTTCACATGGTCCACTAGTCCCTTGGACAAACTGTTTCCCTGTGTCTTAGCTCTGGATGAGGAGAGAGCCATTGTTGCATCTAGATGGCTGCTTATAAGCTTTTAAGACCCCAGTAGTTGCTCACCAAAGTAGGATGTAGTACAATACTTTGGTGTAGTGTGCTATGCCAATTGGGCTTGATGTCCCCTGCCACCATGGTCCTGACCCTATAGGTGCAATAACTGGCTCCTTCAGGATGGTTGACTGTGCCTAAGAAGTTATCATAACTTTGCCCCTTGTTCACTTTATTATATATGTGGGCATTCTCACAGCACCTACAAATATGTCTGTAGAAATATAATCTGTCAACTTTATTGGTATATTCCCTTTTGCCTAGACATACCTGATCATTCAGCCTGTCTTCCCGTGTATTTACCCATAGATTAATGTTTGTTATCACTGATAATACAGTATTTTATATATATAAAGGTTTGTCTTTGTTGTCTGTACCTCTTGCACACCTCTCTGTCTTCCTTTTCCTTAGTGTTACTGTGTTGGTCACTCACTTTTGGTATATTGCCTTTTCCCTTCACACAAATCAGTACTTGACTCTACCTATCTAGCAGTGTTCCCTCCCCTCCCCTCCCCTCCCATCTCTGGTAACCAACAAAGAAAGTTTCCTTCCATATGTAAACCTTTACTCGACTTCTTACAATATTGAACTAATACAATATTTGTCCTTCTGTGATTGGCTTATCTCACTCAGCATAATGTCCTCCAAATTCATCCATGTCTTGCAGTATTTCACAGAGTCTATGTTACTCTTTGTTGTGCATAATATTCCATTATGTGTATGTACCATAGTATGGTTATCCGATCCTCCGTTGATGGAAACTTTGCTATTGTGAATAGTGCTGCAATGAACATGGGTGTACATATATCTGTTCTTGTCCTGGCTCTCACTTCTTTAGGATATATACCTAGTAATAGGATTGCTGGATCAAATGGTATTTCTAATTCCAACTTTTTAAGGAATCACCACATCGATTTCCACAGTGATTGTATCGTATCTTGCTTTCATTAAAACAATTTGTCATAACATTTTTCAGTGTACATATTGGAAAGTATACTTTTAATGGCTGCTATAATTTTGATCTACCACTTATTTGTCAGTTTGGTCACAATAGTGGTTTGCGTGTTACTGTGCTGCTGAAAGCTATACCACCAGTTATTTCAAATACCAGCAGAGTCTCCTCTTGTGGACAGGTTTCAGCAGAACTTCCAGACTGGGAAGAATTGGCCACTGAAAACCTTATGAATGACAGCGGGACATTGTCTGATAAGTGCTGGAAGATGAACCCCTCAGGTTGGAAGGCACTCAAATTATGACTGGGGAGGAGCTGCTTCCTCAAAGCAAAGTTGTCCTTAATGATATGAATGGAGTAATGCTTTCAGGACCTTGCTAATGTGTGGCACAAGCCAAAATTAGAAGAAACAGCTGCAAACATCCATTAGTAATTGGAATGTTGAACGTGTAAAATATGAATCTAGGTAAATTGGAAGTTGTCAAAAATGAAATGGAAGGTCTGAAGATAAAAATCCAAGGCTTTAGTGAAGTGAAATGGACAGGTATTAGCCATTTTTATAGCACAGTCATATGATCTGTTATGTCAGGAATGACAAATTGAAAAGGAATTACATCACATTCATCATCCAAAAGAATATTTCAAGATCTATCCTGAAGTACAGTGCTGTCAGTGATAGGATATAATATCCATACACCTATAAGAAAAATGAGTTAATACAACTAGTACTCAAATTTACATGCCAGTTACTAATGCCAAAAATGAAGAAATTGAAGATTTTTACCCACTTCTGCAGTCTGATATTGTTCAAATATGCAGTCAAGATGCATTGAAAATTACTGGCAATTGGAATGCAAAAGTCAGAAACAAAAATAAACAGCAGTTGGAAAATATAGCCTTGGTGATAGAAATGACACTGGTGATTGCATAATGACTTTTGAAAGACCAATGACTCATTTACTGCAAATACCTTCTTTCAACAATATAAACAGTGATGATACACATGGACTTTGCTGGATTGAATACAAAAGAGTTTCATGAACTACATGTGTGGAAAGAGATTATGGAAAATCTCCATATCATCAGTCAGAACAAGGCCAAGGTCTGACTGTGGAACAGATCATCAGTTGCTCATATGCAAGTTGAAGTTGAAGAAACTTAAAGCAAGTCCACAAGAGTTGAAATACAACTACAAGTATATCCTACCTGAATTTAGAGACTATCTCAAGAATAAATTCGGCAGATTGAATACTAATGGCTGAAGATCAGACAGGTTGTGAGATGCATCAAAGACATCATACGTGAAGAAAGCAAAATGTCTTTCAAAAGACAGGAAATAAAGAAAAGACCAAGAATAGATGTTAGAAGAGACTGATATTTGCAGCAGAATGCAGAGTAGCTAAAGCAAAAGGAAGAGATAATGAAAAGAGCTGAACAGGACTTCTGGCAAGATGGCAGAATAGGCAGACAAGCTGCCCAGACCCTCTAAAACAGAGAAATGAGAAAACAATTAAAACAGATACTGTTGATAATACTGACTCCTGAACTTGGAAGGAAAGGATAAAGGAGTGGATTAAATACCAACTAGTAGAAGCCAGTGTTTTAACTCTTATTGCATAGTGCTGAAGGCGCATTGGCTAATAACCAAAATGTTGGCTGAAAAAGGTCAGTGATTCAAACCCAGCAATTGCTCCATGGGAGAAAGATAAGGCAGTCTTCTGGGAAGATTTTACAGCCTTGGGAACCTTGTGTGACAGTTCTACTCTGTCCTGTAGGGTTTCCAGGAGTCAGAATCAACTTGATGGCTGTAGGTTTTGTTTAGTAGAAGAAACTGAATGAGAACAGCAACAGAGGAGACAAATGGAGCTGTACACTGTCAATTGGCCTGATGGCACAGCCATTTTGAATATTTGTAAGGAGTGTTCCAATCAGGGCAGCAACCAATCAGAGTTCTGCCAAGGACTTCAGTCACCCAGTATGGGGGCATCCATACTGCTGGCTGGTGACCAGAAAGATTTGTGGGTTTGTTGTTTTTTTTTTCCCCTCTCCTTTTTCTTTTCATTTTTTTGTTTTCTTTGTGGTGGCTGTTTGTTTTGGCTGCTTGTTTTGTTTTTGTTAATTTTTTTTTGGTGGTGTTTGTTTTGTCTCATCTGGTATGAGATAGCCACTTTGCCAACACAACCCAACCACATCCACACCTTCTGCAGCCCCCCCACACACACACACAAATTGAGGACCACCACTTGCTTTTGCACCAGCTGATCTACAATAGATTACAACCAATACCAGTTTAATCCACCCTGAACTGCTGTACACAAACAGCCATCAGAGATCTCTGCACACATTCTCATCCTCTGTCATGTCCACCAGGAGACAGATAGTGAGTGCCTAAGTGCT